AAGAATGAGACCGGCTCAGTTCTCCTAAGCTGGTCTAAGGGGGCTCAGTGACGTCACGACCCCCGAAAACACAAGGCGCTATATCTCGGAAACGAAACGCAGCACTGACAAATGAGGGGGGTTTCGTCGTTTGTGCTGTTTGCACGGGGGGGCCATCGTCACGGAGCTGCGCCAGCGAGACAGCCCGTCTTCGCATTGTGGGCGAGAACCGAAGAGTCACCCCCCCAAAAAAAAAACCCACTCGCTTGACAAACGTCCCAACAGAAGAGGGAAAGAAACAGGTATAGGAGCCATACCCACTTCCTAGAGTAATTAGCGCCGCCTCTCGTTGAAGTTCCCTTCAAGAGTACACCTGTAATACACGAAGAAAAATGTGTATTGAAATCAAGTACAGGGTGGACAGAGCGGCAGGAATGAGGATTCCCAGTCGGAAGGTCTTGGGAATCATCTTGCGGTATTCTGTTGTGAAGCTCAGCGTGGTTTCGTGTAGGTATAGATATTGAATTGGATATTTGAATTTAACCGTCTGATGTTAAAAAGATTGGGCTTCTTGAATTACTTTCATTCTTTGTACCTCGAAGGAGTTGAATTCGCTTTTATGTACTGTGCTCATTCTGTGGCTTCTAAATCGCACATTGAGCGCGAACACTATATAGGTTTAAAGTTGACTCGAGAATGTGAGTATCGGTAAACTAGCTCGTTTGCAATGGGGGTTAATTGCTGCATTGTATAATGGTCTCCCCGTTTATACGCCCCGGTGAAGGCACGTCTTCACTGAATTCTGGAGTTTGATCCAGACGGTGCTGTCACTGCTTAACTAAACGTTATTAAAATGCACCATACAGAAAACAATAAAATGCATATTAAAGGCAGGTCTCTAGCTTTCGTTTTGATGACATGTAACTTTTGCGCGTAAAAAGTTACTTCACGTAAATCAAAAGCTTTTACAAATCAGTTCGAAATACTTCATCCCTCCCCAGGGGGCAATTTAAGAGACGAAATCTGTTTTTTAATTACAACGCAAAAGCAGCGCACAGGCTTGGACGGCGCTCGAACGAAGCACTCGAGTACCTGATCTGCAGAGTGCCAATGGCCGTCCATGCGGATTCTGAAGGATACAAGAAAGTTAAATAAAGAAAAGAAAGAAAGTCACTTTTGCAGCCAGGTACTATAAACGCGAAATACAAACGCGTCTCCGCGCATTAGGAAAAGGAAAGTAAAACGTGCTCACCTTTTAAGATCCTCTGGAAAGGAGATATTGACCTGTTGAGTCTCGCTGACACTGCCTTCCCTGCCGAATTTGAAAGGGTGAAAGTTAGAGCCTCGCTTTAAAACCGCCGCACATCGCCCGAGGTGTAGACTCGGCGCAGTCCGATTCTCGCTCGCAGCGTGAGGGGGTCACTCCTCAGCGGTCCGTTCCCGAGCGGCTCGGCTCGGCTCGCCACGGCGTTACCGAGTGCGCACGCTGTCTGAACAGGATGTGAAATTTCAGCAGTTTCGACTGGGATCCGTTCCAGAGCGAAGGAGGTGTTTCGCCGCAGACTTGCGCGCCCCTGCAGCCGCAGCGCGCTGGAATTCCTGAGCGAAAGGTCACCCGCCCTCAGAGACGCGCGACGGCTTCTCCGGGGGGCGCCGCACAGGAAAGAATAGCCCCCCCCCTCCTGTTTGTTATAAAATTCAATTTACAGCAACTTGAAAAGCAGCGTTTGAAGCGTTGAAATTAAACCCAGCGTCCCGGCAGGGCTTGGGTCACTGAGACTGAGCTCCGTCTCTATTTCCCCAGTGACCTCTGGTTCGAGTTCCGTGCCCGCTTTTATACAGCAAACAGGTCTGAGTAGGAAGCTCACACCGCATCGGGACTGCCAAGCAATCGGCAGGGAAAAGAATGAAAAAACCGGGATACTCCAGAGGAACGCCAAGAGGTAACGCTCCCGCCTCCTCAACCGAGCCTCCTCTACTAACAAGCGAAAACAAAGGATGGTCATTTTAAAAAGAACAATATTACAAGTGCAATAAAAAATGGTTTTACAGCCCAGGCTGACCTGAGGGGCGGAGATCCCAGGTTTAAACTCTACTCGTGTACTCCGAAAGTCTCTGCAGGCACGTACTGGGACTCTTCTGTTACAGCACAGCTGCCCGCAGCGAGAAGTTCCCGTCACCGGCTCCAAGATTACTCTTCGCGCACAGGCGGGTCATGACGGCTCGGATCCCGAGCCACGAAGGCCGTCACTCTCCCCGAGTCCGGCGGCACCGCCCCCACCCCGGCTCACACCAGCCCTGCTGTGGGTCATCCCGCAGCCCGCCCGGACAGGTGTCCCTGCCACCGGTCGGCGTCGCCGGCTAGCCCGTGGGCACTGCCAACAGGACACGTGTTAGTGACCACCCAGAGACAAAACGCAGCGACTGATTGGATTTGTAACAGTCAAAGTAATAAATAGTACTGTAACGCAACGGGGTTCAGGCGGGCGCCCTTGCCTTCTGCCTGCACAGGACGCGAACCCGGGCCTCCGGCGTCACTCAACAGGGACCCAGCTTGCTGAGCTAAAGAGAGATTCCTCTACATCCTAGGGGCTGTGGTCCTGCTATTACAGGGAAGGGCGGTGACGTCACCGCCCTGGTACCCGGCTCTTACACACCACTGACGGCCGTATGCGTTACAATACGTTTCACGTGCGATGGGTTTGCAGATCAGTCCGAGATGGGTGAGGCCGGGTTCGGACTTGCAGAGGAGCGAGCAGGTGGTCTACAACTGCAGAGGTCTAGGCAGTGGTTCCTGTAACACACAGAAAGCCTCCAGCTTGCGCTGGAAGAAGTAAGGACGCGGGCGGAAGGGAATTCGAAGCCCCCCAGGCTCTCGGATAAAGGCTGCCTGCCGTGGCCCACGGTTCCACAGCTGGTGTCATTAATTCATTTCCTGCATCTTTCATAACGCGTCCAACCAGGCGTGAACGCGTTTATAATTGTAATAAAGTGAACTGTAAAAAGGCTGTGCAAAATACGCTTTATATGTCTAATTAAACCAGGAGAGACTAGACCTTCCCAGAACCGAATTTGGCAGGCCTGGTTCCATAGCGAAAACCTGAGGAATGTTTATAGGACCTCTCACGATACAGTATTCCCGCGACAGCACACTCATGCCAAATCACAGAGTAAGCAGACACAGTTCGGAACATCACACAGAATAAACAACAGGCGGCACAATAACTGTCTAAACTAAATATTTAATCGAGTCTGTTTGTGTTCACGGAGCGGAATGGCAGGTTGCCCCAGACAAGGCGTAATGACCATGTCTACCACTAGATGTCGCCAAAGCGCATCTTCAGAGCTCATTCTATATAGTTTATCCTGTGGACATTGTTTTACTAATTGCATGGATTTTCTCATGTTTTTTTTT